TTTCGAACCGTCCTCGTAGTTTCTCTCTTTCTAGTTTCTTTCTTCTCATCTTTTGTTCGACACAAAGTAACCAATACTGAACCTTAGAAGTCCTTTGGGCGAATCTTCATCTCAGACCTCTTAAGAGAATCATATCTTTTCCAGTGATACCAACAAACTCCCTTACTGTCGGATTTACCTTTGAGGTACAAGCCATTGAGGTTTGAATAATGGCAATAATTGTACCACCAGGCGCCTTTAAAAGAAGAGGCACAGTTAGCCCTTAAGTTGGCGTCATTATTCTGGTCTTTTGTGGTAAATGCTGAGCCGTTATGATAACTGAGAGAATCACCAGCCGTGCCTGAAAACCAAATTTTAAAAATTAGTCACTTGCATGATGAATTCAGATGCTTCGGCTAACGCTTCCTTTAAAAAATCATATACCATTTAAGATGAAATTCCTTAAACATCCATTACGATGCTGGAATTCGAAACAAAGTCACTGAGTGCTTCAATAGGAAACCTACTTTCCTAAAATTCCTTCTAAAAAGGGTTGAAACCCTGCTGCGCTTACTGGTAAAATATCGAGTTGAACACGAGAAAACAAAGTCTGTATCTATAGGCGACTATGTTCAAGTTCTATTTTACTTATCATATTAACACCATAGGCCCTTACTGACCAGAGAATTCGAAAAACAACACTGGACTGAGAATGATGAGCGCTTTGCGGTTCATACGAGCCGCCCAGTAAGTATTCCAGTTATGAATTTGAAATAACGATATAGACAAAATGTATACAGGTAAAACTCAACTTTACCTGAATAACTTTCTAGACCCAGCCAGTATTTGGAATACTCACTCGCCACAGAAAATAATTATCTTGACTTTCAAAGATCAGAAATCCGTCGACACCGTGCGCAGACAGCTAAGCGACCTTGGAAAGAAAATCGACCGTGTACTACAACCACTTTTCACAAGTAGGAAAACCTCGGAAGATTTAAAAGTCACGGAAACAAAGTCCTCACTTGTAAACCAACAAGCGTTGTGTGTGAATTTAAATGTAATTCGTGTGATGCGAACTATAGAAGTTACACGAACCGTCACCTCCACCTTAGTATTGAGAAGCATAAATATTCCGACATCGTTTTAAACACTTTAAGGAAGAACACAATCAAAGACCAAACAATCTTCACGAGCTTAGCCATCCTAAAGAAGAGCCGTAGAAAGTTTAAGTGCCTCATTTATGAGATGCTTTTAATAAGGAAAACGAGACCGACTCTGAACACTAAAAAAGGCTCCATTCCAATGAATCTCTTCATTTAATTATGTACTTTCTCTTGTCCTACTCCATCTCATTTTGATCTGATGTAGTTTCACACTTTCCTTTCTTTAGATAGCATAACCCATAATCTACATTTGATAATGGTGACGTATCGCCAAAACGTCATGTTTTAATCGCGCTACGTTTTACTATGAAATGTTATCCTAAATCTTTCGCTATTAAAATTCAATTTTACCTGAATATCGACCCAGACTTAAAAGGTATTTCGCTCTCTCACTCGCCACAGAAAATGAACTGTATTCTGCAAACGCTGTTTTACCATGGAAGTCTTCCAAGTCAACACGAAGCTTGTTAC